GCCATTTGCACATTCAGGTCTGTGGGTAATGGTCTCATTTATCCTTGCGCCTTCCCAGCAGTCTCAGACATGCCTTTCTATTCCTTTGTGGGTCCTGGTCTGCCTTGCAGACTCTCCCCATCAAACTCTCTTTCCCACCTTTTCCTCCCCTTTCCTGCCCCTTTCTCCTGTGCATTGCTGTCTCAGGATTACTGACCTTGGGGATCATTTTTGTTGGTCTGGTTTTGCTGATAGGTTTTGTCATGTGTGAGAGGACCTCTTTGGCTTCAGGCAGATGTATAGCTCCTGTCCGTCTGTCAAGAAGATGCATGAGGAATAAGCAAGATTACTAAATACAGTTTACTATCTGCAATGACTAAATGCCAAATGCAGATACAAATTGTAGTGCACTTAGAAAGCTGATTAATTAAAAACCCTGGCACTGCAGACAAATGGTCAAGTTTTGGATGTTACTTTGTCAGTATCATCTTACTCTTCCTAGACTCAGGGCAGATTATCATCAAGAATTTTTCAGCCTCCTCTATTGAAGTTTTCTTAAGCATTTTAGTAGTTTGAAACAACACTTTTTCTGCAGTTCAACAGTTCAACACTGTTTTCTAATGATACCAATTCTCTTAGTTACAATTTACCATGGTGCTATATAGATTTCCCACCTGAAGAAGACAAAAAGGGAGGAAGAAAAAGTAATATAAATCTTTATAAATTATTATATTCTGTGCTTTATTTGTTGAAATGAAGGCTGTGTGATGAATGCTGCTGCATGACTGTGTAGTTCATCAACTTACCACAAACCCCCACAGATAACATTTGTATTGCAATACTATCCCCAGGCCTCCAGTGAGGCAGCCCCCCATGCTAAATGCTGTACACATATAATGAGTGACAGGCCATTCCTCAAAGACTGTATGAGCTAGACTCAAGAGACTCCTACTAATCAAAGATGTCTCCTTTCTCCAAATGGATGAACAACACATTTTGTTTCTGTGACACGTGTAGCTACAGAAACTCTGGGGAGGCAGGAGGAGGACACTTTTTATGATGCTATAGGTAGAGGCTGAAGAAAGAAGTCTGCCTTTACAGGACACAGAAGTGGATAGCACTAGAAGAATCTGGAAATAGCTGAAAGCTATCTTCCTGTGGTATGGGTGGAGTACAGACTTCTGTGGCACAGCAGGATGGTTTCACTGCCCCTCATTCAGGATAACTTATTTGCCTCTTGCCTGTCTTTGCCACTTTTCAATAGTTTTGTCCCAAAGTTCCTGCTGATAAATACAGGATATATGTAGAGAGTTTCAGGATCAAAAACACAACCTATCAATAGGTGTTTGAGTACAACTCATTCTTTTAATATACATAGTTACTAAAATACAATAATTCATGTAAGAGTTATGAAAATATGTATCTATATAACATCTGCACTGACTAGGTAATGTAAGGGTGTAAGACTTGATCTCAACTTCAAAATTTTATTTTAAAAGTGTGTTCAAATCTGATGCAGTTTGGTACTTCCGTCTTGGCAAGATGCATCATAACCTAGTCTGGAAAGAGTAGAAAAATTGGGAAGACTGTCAAAAGGTTCCTGTTACATGTGATTTATATATCCAGTTGAAATACAGGCCACCTTCTATTCAGATCAATGTGAACACTACCATTGAGCTCAAAATGGGCAATATGACCTCCGAACAGAATATTACAGAATGGTTAAGCAAATGACAAAAAGGCGAGTTGAAAACTGACTAGTATAATTGGACAGTGCTTTGGGGGACATACTTCAGATACCTTGAAGTAGAGCTCTGTGCTGAGTAAAACATCCTTATTGCAAAGATTTTGCTCTTAAGACACGGAGAAGAAATCTGTAGGCATAAGAAGATGCACACATTACAACAGCAGGTCATGTCACAAGCTGCCATAATAAATGGCATAGTTTCTTTGGCTTTGGCAGCTTTCATGAAGCTTTCATGACTTCATGTGAGCAACGAGAATTTCTACCACTAAGATACTATCCATTGCATGTTTCTGAACTGTATGAGCTACAGTCAAGTTGTGAGATAGCTAATACTAATGTGGAATTTTGGGGAAAAAAGCTTGTTGATCACCACTGGGGAGCCAGTTAGGTGTTTAAACACATGTGTCTAGTGCCACTTTAAAATTCCTTAGGATTTCTCAAGATAGTCGCCAAGATGACTCTTCAAGATGACCATAGAAAGGATGCAAAAAAAGGACATGTGATAACTGCCAGCTCATCTGACTACAATAGTACTTAATAGCTGCTAGTAGGATCCCAAACCCCACTGCTGCCCTCCCATGCAGAAGAAAGAAAAATGCTCCTAAGTGCTAAACAGCAGCTCAGCAAAAGCATGCAAGTGTGAGTGGAGGAAGTTATATATAGGGGGAATATTTAAGTTGAAAGAATAAAGATTGGGAGGAGGAAGAAATAAGAGGGATGGCTTGGTGGAGGAAGGAATAGCATGGAGCGGATGTTCCTTTTGTGGCATATATAATACTACCACTACAAAATCTGCTTCAGAGAGGGACATGGCCTGGCCAGACAGGGAGCTGCTGCTGTTGGTGCTGCTGACAGCAGTGGCTAGCAAATAACGTGTGGTAAGAGGGCATAGCACAGAAAATGAAACAGTGTCAAGGGAATGAGATATAGCTGTAAAATGAGAAAAAAGACATTCAAGTCCATCCCATTTTACACAGATTACAGTGGGAGAATGGTGTTTCCTGATGATATGAGCCAGTGCTCACAAGTCTTGCCTGATGGACACCAGCCCATGTTCCGGAGGCAGAAACCAGCCTGACCTTGCCCTGTGTTTATTCCTGTGATTCCTAGTCACTTGTATCTGTTCTGTTACTTTCCAGACAGGTGCCAGTAAAATGAAGGTGGCTGACGCTCTTTTAAATAGTTTTTAAACTGGATTTCCTCCTTTAATTTTGTTGGGTTTAAGGAATGGTATTTATATATTGACTTATACAGAGATGCTCGAATACCGTACTAGAGGACCTCAGTGATTCATACAAATAGCTTTTGGACTCACTAAGAAGGAAGACAACCAAACATGCTAATAACAGCAAGCATCAAGAGCCACAAAATATTACCTGAGACTTGTACCTTAATTCCAACTGTATCATCACTAAGCTCTTTAAAGGCTACTGCAATATCCAAAATGCCATAAAAATCTTTTGACTCTGTCTTGCTTAAAATTAGTGAATCCTTTGTACTGTGGTGACAGCTGCCTATGAGCTAGAAAATTGCAAATCAGTTTAGCACAGGGTGATCAGGTACAATAATTAACAATTTTACCAGAGTATGTCAGAGACTAAGAAATGAGAGTGAAATCCTGATCCTAGTGAAACCAGTATTCTCGGGGAGTTAAGGGGTCAGCTTTTCACTCTCCAAGTTTTATATCATCTGGATAAAGATTTTTTAATATGATTGCATAAATAATATAACTGTATTGGTCTCTTGGCAAAAAGTATTTGTTTATATGAATAGCTGTTATAAAAGTGTGTCAAGAGTAAATGTTCCAAAGAACATGCATGATGCTGTAACAAAAAAATCTATCATAATATCTCATTTTCTATTAAGTAACTGTAAAATATTTTACTCTTTCTGGTTTTTGTTTTTGTTTTGCAATTCGTTTGGTTCCCAAAACATTTAAAACTGAACCCAGGACTTAAGCAATGTACAGATACTTGCTATGACTGGATCTTATTTAACCTGGTGAGAGGCTTTCAAAGAGCTGGTCCCTACCAGTGATCCCAGTAGTATGGACATTATTGCTGATACTCTACAGTCTGGGGTGATACAGGCTAGCGTTTGTAGTCCTGGATCAGATTTCCCACAATGGTTCATCCTCTTAAGTTCTTTTGAGGTGTAGCTCACCCAGATGCTCTGTTTCCACTTGTGGTTCACAGTTGCTACTAATGAATTGAGTTTATTTCTTAAAAACCAGCTTGCACTGCTGGATGTTAATGTCTCTTCTGGCATTGCTGTTTCTAAGCAATAAACAAAGTCTGCAACCCAAACCCAGAGTAAAAGTAACAGGGAAGTGAAAGCGTATGAGCTATGAGAAACTATCCAGAATTAATTCTATCTGGAAGTATCCTAATAACAGTAGCTCCTTCACTCACAGCCTCAACTCATTCCACCTGGAAAAAATTAAAGTTGGAAGCAAAGCACTCTTAGGGCTCAAATGCAAGCAGACAGATGGAACTGCAGTGTAAATACAGGCAGACTGGCAAGGCACAAAGATGCTTTAGAAATAACTTCTAGTAGCAGAAGTCTACCAACAGGGAAAGGTCATTTGTAAGGTTTGTTTAGAACAAGGAAAGACTAAACACTGTGTGGAGCTCTGTGGCTTTCTAAGACAGAAGAGGTTTTCCACAGGCCACCAACTCCTTCTTTGGGAAACATGGACAAGATATTTCAGAAGTCCTGTCTAAAAACATGTAATGAAGCATGTAGAAAATAATACAAGAATTTATTGAGTCAAAGGTGGCTTGTAACAGGGAAGTTTACTCATCTTCCTCAGCAATGATATTACGTAAGTAAATGGAAGGGATATTGGAGAGATCACACATGCTGAGAACTGCAAAAGCCAATTGGCTTCTTTAGCTTATCACTTACAAGTAAGTGGATGGGGTTCTACTTCTGTGGTTTTGCTTTGTGTTCTGTTACCAATTCTCATGGAATTAGAAACACTCTTCTTCAACAGCCATCTCCTTTGGAAAAGTTTCCTTTCCTCCCCTCTTTAGTTTCTGCATGTCCAGGGATGGAATCTCTCCACTTTAACCAGAGTACTGGCTGGAAAAAGATGAGCCTGAATGTGTGAGCACAAATGACTACTAGGCTTTTCATGACACCAGTAACCCTGGAAAGCTGTGTCTGTCACTAGAGTTGGCAGAAGAAAGCTTTTATAGCCCTTCTGTGGCTTGGTTTTGATAAAGTAGCTGCTACCTTACACTCGTACTTCATGCCATCCTTTGTGTTGCAGGAGGTGTACTTAAATCATGGAAAAAGCAAGATGTGTATCTGCTGGGTGCCAATATTCAAATAACACTCAGAACAATCTCTGCTGTGCAATGTACATAGACACGGCCTTAATTTTTTAATCCCTCATCTGCACTCTCTAGTACACAAGGTATGTAACACGGATCATTATTTTTTCCATTCAGTGCTCAGCCAATTTTGGCTCATTTTTGTTCCTGGAGATCTCTACTGTGCATCTTATATATACTTAAAATAAATACACCATCTGTAATTGGATCCTAACCAGCCAACACTAAACAATCCTGTCTTCAATGATACTCAAGGTTTGTTTCTAATATGAGCAGAAGGCTCTTCTTTATGCTTTAGCCAGCAATTAATAGAGGGCATAGTTGTTACAAATATGTAACAAAACTTACTATAAAATAATATGAAAAATAAAAAAAACTTTAATTTACACTTTAACCCAACTGGAGAAGATATTCCTAAGCCAGGCAAAGAAAATGTCCAGAAGAAACAGCTATTCAGTAGTTTCCCATTTATCATTTGCTCAGTCACATTAAAACATTTGAAATTTGTATTATTTTTTTCCTTTAGGTGAAGTGCTGAATTTTTCTGAAAGGCTGCATTTTTGTTCAGGATTGCGTTGTTAGGCCATATGTTTCGGCATATAAATTCAAATCTGAAAAAAAACAGTTACCTGAGATGAGACATGGGAGGTTTGCAGCCCCTTCTCACTATTTCTATTTCTCCTGTTGGCTGATGAAAACAGACCAACCAGCCTCCAACTCTGCTTATTTGCATCAATGCAGAGATACACAAGCTGCACAAATTTTCTGAGCACTCTGTGAGTGGTAAAATATCCTTTAACCTGTTTTTATCCTTCTCTTTTGCAGCCAGCTTCCTGCATTCATTTAAAAAGAGACAAAATAGGAATTATGGTCCTGGTTGTAATCATGACGTTTCATGAAATTAATATTATCTATTATACAAGGATAAGATGACATTACATACTATGATATTTAATTAGCCATCTAATAGCTCTACTGACCTGCTGTATTTCTTCTTTCCAGCCTGCTTTTTATGTTTTGTGCTTGCATGAATTTTTCTCTAATTTAGTTTTCTATTTCTTTCGTGTATGAACAGGCTTTGTTACACAAGAACCTGTCAACTTTCTCTTTGGACTGTACCATCCCACCATCTGCAGATGGGACTGGGTTGCATCAAGGCTGCCTTGTGCTCAGGTATCCCCTAGTGATTCAGACTGTCCTGCTTGCTAGACACTCTCTTGTATGGAAAGTCTTTTCATGTCCCTAGCTGGACATAGGCTTTTGTTAATTCTTCCTATATGTGTATTAACTCAATTGAGAGAAAGAAGGCTAGGGAGGCTGGTGAAATAAAGACTTGAGAAATAGTCTAAGGAAAGCAGTTCAGCTGGAACAGTGAAGAGAGGTGGTGGCTGGCACAAGGACAGTTAGGACACACTCCATAGAGGATACCCATCTTCAGCCAGAATCCAGCCTTCCTATGGAGCACTCAGTGCTAGAGGAAAAGGCTGAGGATTTTCCATGCATGATCACTGCAGTCAGAGGAGCAAACTAACAGTTTTGTGGTGTGTGGGAATTCCTCCTTTCACTCTACAGAGCTACACTGTCACTGTTCTTACAGAAATTCACTGTGTCAGATGAAAGGAAAACTATTCTCATACTACTTGCTGGCTGTAGGGGAAGGATATATAGGGGAGGGATCCTTCCCTCCTATTCATGTCTTAGACCCCTGTGAGGACCATATTCTAGCATGGAGGCCAGCAGAAAAATCTGACGTCCCTCATGGCAGAAAGAAAGGAAAGCTTTTTCCCAACAGATGGGCTAGTCATGCCATTTACCCTCCAACCAACTAAAAATTTCCCTTATGCAAAGTTAAGAAGAGGGAACCAGACAAGCAGAAAGACTTCAGGATTTTTCTTTTCCTTTTCCCACTACATAGTTAGAGGAATAAAAGCAGATATCTGTGAAAAGACACCATGGACTGAGCCTGCAGTCTGATAAACAACAATAACCTTTTTCTTGACGCTAATTCCTTTATTATATTTTTAGAAGAATTTAAAAGCCACTTATTTTTGAAAACTATGATTTCAGGAAAAAGTATAATTTTCACATTTCCTCTGATGTGTTGTATGCCCTGCTGTGTTATGACATTTCAAGTTTCATCAAGTCACATTAATTTACATTCTCACATGTTTTCTCAGTGGAACCTGCTCTTCGGGTCTATTTTCATTCATTGCTTGATCACTTTAATGTATTTGTATTACTGAATACTTGGGCCATATTAACTGATCTTTTCATACCCCATGCTTGCAATTCATTAGCAATCATTTCTCTTCTCTGCACGAAGAAAGGAAAAAAGAGATGAGAGAGAGGGAAAATGAGAGGAAGACAAAGACTTGGGAAGAAAGCGAACAGCAATTTAGTACACAGCCTGGGATGCAGCCTGCTCTGCTGCTTGGGATTTGGTTATATTGGAAAATTTTCTCTGGTGTGACCAGCACAGATTGATGAGCCAGTAGAAACCTGAGTAATAAATGCAGTTAACTGGTGTAAACCATTCTTTATTTCAACTTTTGCAAGCTGGTTCAAAGCAGTGCAAATACGTTTGTGTTAGAGATTTGTGTTTGTGTTAGGTAAAGCAGTCTCTTGGATCCCATTAGTGCAGAAAGCAAATAAATTTTCCAGGCTTGTGCAATGCTGATGTGGGGGAGAGCTGGGCACCAAGCCTGTCTGTGTTCTTGTTCCTCAGCTGTGTTTTAGTTGCCCATGCCTGAGCTGGAGCTTGAGAAGAGGCTCAAATTCCCAAATTTGAGCTCCTAAGTTCAGTCTGTTCAGAGCAGCCAGCACAGCTGATGTACAGTATTGCCATCCTTCATCTCCTGACATAGATAAAGTTCAAATGATAAAACATTAAGCAAGAACCAATTTTGTCTACCCTTTCCCTGTGTTTATTAATGGAATGACTGAATGAACCATAATGTTTCTCCCCCCTCTTGCCACCCTCTTCTTGAAAGTGGCGCATGAATACAAAATAAGTGATCAGGAACTCAGAAAGCTTTGCAGCCTCTCAGTAAACTTCCATTCCCTCCTCAATATAAGGATGCTTGATCTTCCCTGCTAGTGCTTTCAAGTCCTTGCTGCATAACACAATGAAAATCAGACAACATGTGCTCTGACATGTGTAGGCAGCTGCTAATCATCCTGTACAGAAACCTGCAGCAGGGGTTTCAATGACGATGCAAGGTGCAAGTCTTTTTCAGCCATGCTGTAGCCAAACATGATGAAGGTCGGAAGCCTCAGGCTTTGGATGGAAGGGAGTCTCCTGCACTCTATAAAAATCATGTTGCCTTCAGCTCTCTGCCAGTGAGGAGTACATACAGCTCAGTCCCTCTGCTCTGAACACACTCCCTTGACTTATCCTATATTGAGATGTTGCCTGTAACCCCATCTTTCTGAATTTGCAGCCGAGCTCCGATATCTACACAAAAGTGGAGCCTGCAGCACCATAGCAAGTTGTGACTTATATTTCCCCACCTATACGCATGAGCATATACACCTACCCCTCCCACCCCTACCTCTGGCAATGAAGACATCACTTAGAGTCCCTCTGTTGTCTAATCTCAAGCTCTCCATCACCTGTCCTAAAAGCAGCTCCACCAGTGGAAAGAGAGAATGCTGGGGCTCAGGAGTTGTCCAAGATAAATGTTTCTGGCATTTTCATTGCATTGTCATAAAGCTGTTCGGATCCATCAGGCCACACAGTACTGTAGTGAGAGCTGGATTTCAATACAAACTTCTTCTCTAACCTCTGACAAATCTGTGGGAGCTGCCAGGAAGGTTAAACACTGGTAAACCAATTAGGACAGAGGGGAGAGTCCCATATGTGACCACACAGACAGCCCAGCCTGCCCACTTTGATGTCCTCCTACCTCTGAATGAGGAAGATGATGCTAAAGCTTTCCATAGAGGGTTGAATGGAGCAGCCTGATGTATCAAAGCCTTGGGAAGAGGGGGGCAAGGAAGGCTTATCCTAGCCTGTATTATCACTGATGGCTAGTGATCCAGTGCCACATGCCCAGTAGGGGAGTGATCAGCACAGCCCAGGGTAAGCAGCACAGATATGACAGCACATCTGTTATCCACTGAACACTGGTGACAGAATGGAATGTAATCTCTGTGTTTACATTCAGAGATTAAAGACAACAAGTGGCTCCAGCAGGACGTGGTGTCCTGCAATGGAGAACAGAAAAGGATGCTTATGTAAAATGGCCTGGCAGCAGTGCCCAGGAGGAACAAGTGGACTCATTTTCTCCTGCAGGCAGCACAGAAGGGGATTACTACTGGGGGGAGGGTAGGCAGGAACAGGGAGAGAGAAATTAGGAGCCCAGATGTCTACTCTCTATATGCGGTTTCCAAGGGCTTTGGAAATAAAATAGAAAAACCCCTACTGTTTTGTGCCAGGAAGTCAGACATGTATGCAAGGAGTCCACACTTACTCAGGACTGAGATTTTGTTATGTGACCTTAAGCAGAGCTGATCAGCTGGACTGAGTTTCCTCAGTCTTCTCCAACACCTGTGAACCTGAGGCGCAGATTTTGCAGAGCTAAAAGTCAGTCCCTCCCTTCCACTGGGATGCAGCTGTCTAAAGGTCTTGTCTCTTTTAAGGGATCCTGCAGTACAGGGTGGGAGACCTGTAAGGGAAGCATGGGCTGGGGGGATCACCTCATTCACAGCTTTAGCAGCTGCAGTCCATATTAACCCTGCTTCAGGAATCTGTGCCCATGGAGCAATTCAACCCATTCTGGAACCTAAGTGCAAAAAAGGATAAGCTTCTGTTGGCCACAATACAGTCAATCAGAATATAAAGAGTATTGCTAGTAGTACTCAAGCTTAATTAGGGCTGGGAGCAGGAAAACCAAATGCCAGAGGCTGCCTTACCTTACCCCTTAGAGGAATATGATTCCTGACACTAACAGACTAGAAGAAAAATATAGTTTAGAAGGCTTGTGCCTTCCAAACAGCAGGTGCAGCACTATTGATATCTTAAATAGACTGTGATTGACCTTTTAACTCCTTTTTGTGTCTTTTCTCATGGGAGGTAACAGTCATTTCTGCCATGCTGAAAACAGAAAACTTGCCATATGTGTGTGCCCAAAGGTTTATAAAATAGGAGAGGAGAATAAGAAACAAAAACAAGTGGCACTCTGCTTGCTATTACTCCCCTGGACCCTCCTTGAAGCCACTTTCTGTATCCTTAAAGATGCCGTCCTACTGGTGGTAAGCAGCAAGGTGGGAGCCTGTCACAGGAAAATGTGCCCAAGTCCTATTTTACTTACTGCCAGTTGACAGCACAACAGAAAATTATCCCTAGCCAGTCAGCATAGCAAAGTTACTTTTTGAGTGATGTGCACTGCACAGTATATGGAGAGTGAGATCAATGGAGGACAATAGAAATCTAAATTGACAGTACACTAATAATTGTTGGCATTAACTAATCAGATGGGATTTTAAAGTTCACACTGTGAACATTGGTATTTTCTGTGTGATGGGAAGACAGTTTGAACTATTTTTTCTATTAAGTGTTTGAAAGGCTGTTAGAAGAAATTATTACTGTAGTAATCAGAGCTCTCTGTGTGAAACCATTTCATAGGCTTTGAATTTTGCAAAGCAGGAGATAGTCTGTATTGAAAATAGTATGAGCCTTTACCTGGATACCTAATAACAATGTGAAAGTTATATTTGCCTTAAATCATCTTTTAATTCATTCAGCAATATGCTGTTTCCGTGATAATCTCTGGAACACAGACAGGGCCCAGGGCAAGGGGTTTCTGCCACCCTCCACTGATGGACCATAACTGCCCTACTCCCCAGCCCCTCTGCAGACTTCACCAGGCAGTGCTCTGCCAGGGTAGAGCTACCCACACAGGCTGTCCCAGGGCTTTGCTGAGGGGAACAGAAACAAAAGGTGCCAGCCCTGGGTGCTTATGATAAAACTGCTAGATGCCACTGGCTTATGTGCCTGCAGCCCTGAGGGACCCTGCATCAGCACCGCAGTGGGTGCAGCTATGTTTGTGTCACATTTATCTTCTCACTGATGAAGGTCAAACCTTATCAGATTTAATGGCACCTTTAGACTACATTGCACATGGGGTAAGAGATTCCCCTGTCTTTGCACAGGTGCCCAGCTAGGGTTTATGGAAGAGC